ATTTATAGTGTTTGCTTAAAAATTAGAGATTATAGTCTCGAAATCTTGAAAGTGAAAACTAATTTTAACACTATCATCCATCTGAACTAAAAATAGTACATTAAAGTGAATGGAAGGTTCGAATACACACAAGCCATAGTGAGGCTTTCAAGCATAAAGTTTCAAGTGGAAAAAAAACTTCTATAAGAAGGTAGGAGTTATTCAGTTTGTTAGCATATTATAATGCTTGCATTTTGTATTTGAATTTCTCAATACAGTAGCAAGAACTCAATTACTTATGAAACAAATTACGCAACAGAAATGTTCACTTAAGTGAACAGGAATTAAAACTGCCACCCCTGTTTCTTTGTATTAAACTTTATTCACCCTTGCTGAAAGATAAAAGTAAATATTTTTATCCCAATTATATGCAGCTAGATCTGAAGCAAAAATTGCATAATCATACGCTTTGTTATGCTAATTGCTACACATTAAACCGGACCAGCACACAGCAATACCCAAAAAAAAATTTGCAAACAGAAACTCCCTTAGAATGAAAAAAAGTGTAAAATACAAAAGAAATGCATTCAAATCATTAATAATAATCCTTGCATGTGATATAGCATTTTTTCACATCTTCAAGAAGTCTCAAAGCGCTTCACAGAATATACCGTAAAGTGAATTGACTGTATATTTATGGATGAAACGCAGTAGCCAAATGCGTACAGCAGTGTCCCACAAATAACTGTAGATTGAGTGACCAAATTATTATTGTCTTTTTTTCTTGAGGGAGTATTACCAGGCTTGTGGAGTAAGGAAACTTGCCCAATGTTTCGCCCTGCCGGGAATCGAACACAGGTCTCTCGCTTGCAAGGCAAGTGCTCTAACCACTAAGCTACAGGACTCTATGCAATGCAAATAAAACATAGTAACGCAGTTATACATTCAGGAGACCAGCAAAAGACTACGGTACACAAACTTGTAAAAAAATGCAAAAAAAATCTAAATGCAAAGAAAGGAAAGTTAAGACTATTGCACCATGAACAGAGAGAGGGAAACAAAAACAATGTGTGGAGGGGGTGGGAAAGAGAAGAAAAATCAGTGGCAGCTTCCTAGTTTCAGCATTCCAACAAAGCACCACAGTTTACAATTTGTTGACTCGGTTGTGGGAGTGAGCGAGTACGGGTACAATTGCAGCAGATACTGTAGTTGATCAATTGAAAATTTAAACCTATTTTCATATTCTTAGTACAAGCATTGCTATTGTAGCTTAGAATTCTTCCAAACATAGCACTGATTCTTGGTGCAAAAAAATGACTGGAGAAATATCTCCTAATTGGAATTCTCACCACCATTAACAGTCCAAAAAGATAAATAATAAACCCACAAGAAATTGTTCACTCGTTAGGAATGTTGAATTAAACACTCACTAAAAAAAGTATGGTGCAATAATGTCAGGCTCAACTGAATATTTCCGTATATAGTCATCTGTTAGCACTACCATTAACTGCTATATGATGTTCACATTATTTGGAAATAATAATCTCCAACTTAAATTTAGCTTATTGGAATTGCAGCAGCGCAATGTTGAGGAGCAGCAAGTATAACTGAATTGCAGTAATAATTATGAATTTTTCTTAAATATAATTTGCTATAAATTGTTGGCAGTTCAGATTTCATACTCTACTCACCCTTTGAGAGAATACAGCTGTTAAGCGTTACAATGAAATTTATGCTACTTTTTAAAAACATCTCATCAATTTCCAGGCCAACTTAAAATCCTTCAACTTTAAAACAAGAACGTGCATTTATATAGCACCCTTCACACAGAGTAGGGCAACAGAGGGCTTAAACGCATGATAATTAATCACATTTAAGTGTAAAACCGTAACGGCACTACATTTATGAAATTATATTTAACTAAAATGACATGGTTTAACTAGAATCATAGTTTGGTTATTTATTAAATTGTTCAGAAGCAGGTATGATGGAAAACAATTAATTCAGTTAGATAGCATGCAGTTCTATAAAAATTACCTAGCATTATCAATTCTGATGCTGTAAGCAAATTTGTACAAGTAGCTCATTGCTTTTTGCTCATCACATCTTACAATTCACCGATAAATACAGTTGTGCAGTCTACGCTCCCATGCACACCAGTGTCCATTTCATTTACGTACAGAAAAATACTTTGCACAACAGTTCAAAAAGAATGAACATCAATCTGAAAAGATGTGATCTAGCTCTTGGATGCACTGAGGACACAATAAAGCAATAAATGTACTGCAAACATCTCAGAGAAAGATAAACAGCAGTCCTGTGCTCACTTTCATCTTAATGTGGCTTTAATCTCTAAGCTATTGCCACCCCTCCTTTTCCTTCTCACTTAAAGGATAGGTATCATGGCTATATAATAATGTAATGCATCAACAGAATGTTGCAGCACCTATGTACAATCATGTACCAAAATTTATTAACACGGGAAAAGCCAAATGAACTAGCGTTACAACCCTGACCATGAGTAGTGATGCAAGCAGTCATCACAGATGTTTGCATTGTAGATAACTACTATAGTTACTTGTTCCTCTCAACTTCGTAAATATTCTGAAAATCCCTTCATTGGAGGCAAATTCAATAATCTTCTTAGCCAAGAAACTCATAGCACCCAATATGCACATAGTGTACTAATCTTCACCAATCATAAATAAATTCCCAAATTAATGCTCTTTTTATTAATGAATTTGAGCTAGTTACGAAAAGTAATGATTAAATACTTTTCTTATAACATTTCTTACAGCACCTCCTCGCAACACAACTGTTGTTGACAATTATTTTTAAGAATATTGACATTTATGCTGGCAATTGCAGCAGCTAGCACTAGCAATGGAGTATAAATAGCATTAAGGTGAATAAGCAAATTTAATCTGATCTTGAGTGAATTTGGGTGAGATAGGAATATGGCCAGAACACCAAAGAACTCCCCGCATTCTCTGAGATAATCAGGCAGACGTCCAGCTACAATGCTATTTACCTTTATGCAATTTAAGAAATCTATACAGCAAATAGCATTGGCCTTTCAAAGGCATTTCAGTTTTTTTTTAAAAAATGCTAGTTTACAAGCCCATTTGAACAACTCAGAATAGTTTCATTAATATTAAACTGGGGTTAAAAACTTTTTGAACTATTCAAAAATACAAGCACTTTGTAGCTCATTTTAGCTGAACATTCACCACTTGAAAGTTTTGAGTCAAGGCATCCAGGACTGGCAGCCTCAAAATAAGATGGAATCCCCTTTCTGAAAACACTTCCACAGCAAAGTTACATTTTCCCATACGCTTAAGGATATCAATAAAGTGTTCTTTCTTCTTACAATCATAAGAAAATTAATACAATATGCCAGTAATAATAATAATAATAATCTTTGCATTTGATATAGCGCTTTTCACATCGGGAGGACGTCCCAAAGCGCTTCACAGAACACACTAAAGTGAATTGACTATATTTGTGGGCAAACGCGGCAGCCAATTGCGCACAGCAATTTCCTTTGAAAGTTATTTTTCTTTAGCTTAAGGAAGCTCAAAACATTTAAAAAAAAATTAAATCCTACCAAATCAGAGATAATAATAATCCTTCCATTTTGGTAAAGCACCTTTCACATAGGGAAGACGTCCCAAAGAGCTTCACGGGATTTACCGTAAAGCCAGTAAAGTTATGGGCGAACGCAGCAGCCACTTAAAGCGCAGCAATGTCCCACAAACAGTCACGGAGTAAGCGATCAATTTTATTTGGGGGATTGTTGGTCAGGACACCGGGAGAAACTCCCTTCGCTTTTTGAATAATGCAATGGTATCTTTAACGTCCTGCCCGAACAAGCAGACAGGACCTGGGTTTAACATCTCACCTGAAGGATGGCACTTCTGACCAAGCAGCACTCCCCCAGCACTGCACTGGAGTGTCAGCGTGGACTGTGCGCATTCAAATCTTGATGTGGGGCTTTCAACCCACAACCTTCACGACTCGGAGGCAAGAAATGCTGACACGCGCCAGGCCGTCTTTGCTCCCTTTTCACCCTCTCCCTTTTTCAGATCACTCAAAATTACGACTGGAAAGCAAATTTTTTTTTTTTTTTTTGGACAACATGCAAAAAAAAAATTTCACTGGAATAATTATAATTCATAACGTCGCTTTGACAGGTTCCTCGCATAATGAAGGTTATTATAAGCAGCTCTTTGCAGTATTCGGGGCTAAACACTATTTTGACACGTTTCAACAGTCATTTCGAATGAATTCATTTCAGAGGGTTTGTTTTTTAATGGACAGTAACATAAGTTGCATCGCTCAAACTATCTGGAAAGGGCTTCCAAAGAGAGCCGAATGCAGGTCGGGCTGTTCATTCAGTGGAGTGAATTTTCACAACACTTCCAAGTTTACAGCGTGCAATACACCCCCAGAGAGAGAGAGAGAGAGAAAAACCCAAACACCGCAGAAAATGAAGCTGATTTTTCGAGCTTAAAACGACTCGAGTGCAACCTCTTCGCGTGTGTGTGGGGTACAGTCGTGAGGGCAACAACAACAACAACAACAACAAAAAAAGGGGATAAAATCGCGCGCTCGTCAAAAACCGGCGACTCCCGGCGGCGGCTCACACACTCCCCTTCAAACGGTAGAAACGACGGTTTTTTTTTAAAAAAAAGGACCTTACGGTAAAATCTCCGCGGTTTTGCACGTGCGGGAAAACCCGTCGGTGTCACCGGCGTCCGAGCTTCACTTCAACGGCACCGCGTTCCCAGTTGCCGTCGGTCTCCGCTTTCCCGACACACACCTGCGTCAGCGCCTGAACCTTAGCCCGAAAACAACGGGGAAACGCGGCTCCGACTCTGCGCGGACACTGTTCCCCCCCTTTTGGATTTTGTTTTACAATTTTTTTAAAAAGAAATATATATATATATATGTATATATACATAGACACACACACACACACACGCGCGCGCGCGCGTATATATAAAAGCAAAATATCTCACCCCATTTTTTTTTCCTGATGAAGCCAACAACGCAGATAAAGCCAACGCTCCTTCTGGAGGGACGTTGTAACTAACGCTCTTCCCTGTTTTTTTTATATATATATATTGCGATAAATGATACGAGAGCACTCGGCTCACGGTTTTATCTCCTTCTCCCCCCTCTCTCTGTCTCTCTCTCTGTCTCTCCCTCTCCAGGTCAGAAAGACATGACAGTCGTGAAATCCATTCCTTCACAAGACGCGAGAGAGGGAAGGAGCGAGAAGGAAGGAGGAGAAGCAGAAGAAAGCAGTATCTATCTCCTCTCTCCGCTATTTCTCCAGCACCGCCTCGGGTCGGCTCTGTGCCTCCTCTTTTTATGCCGCTGTTCCTCAGTGACCAGCTCGGCTGAGTCTCCGCTGCCGCCGCCGCCGCCGCTGCTGCTGCTCCGGGCTGCAGCCCCTCTGTCTCTGTGCTGCTCGGTGTGGCGCGGGTGGGCTCGAGCCGGCGGCGGGTTTTTAACGGCTGAGCGTTCCGAGGCGGCGTTCCGATCCCATCCCTTTGTGACGACGAGGAGGAGCCGCAGTTCCATTGACGGCCCCGCGCTCCCCGGTCCGTCCGCGAGCCGGACCTTTAAATAAACGTCACGGCGCCGCGCTGTCACCCACCCTCTGACATCATCAGCCTCGCTCCCACTCCCGCTGACGTCAAAGGACAGCAATTATCGGGTGACGTCAACCTCGCCCTCCCCCTCCTCCTCCACCTCTACACACTCTTTCTAATTATAAGCCAACATCCTGAAATGTGGCTATGCCCCGGTTTGGTGCTGAAAGATCCACCTCCACCAACGCTCACTCTACATGGTCCAGACACCTCAACAGGAAGTTGGCATTGTGTTCCCCAGTGATGCAGGGAGAGCTCCAGCGTTGGTGGGGATGAGCTCTGGGTGTTCTCCACTCCCGGCTCTCTCGCCTACACAGCGTGAGCTTCGTGTGTTTCTCACTTGGGTTTGGGTTGCTATGGAAAGAGGAAATCAGACTCCAGCGAGGATTCTGGAGTTACATAACACGCTCCTGGGTCTGACTTGATGTTTTCGAAAAAAAAACCACACTCAATTCCCCCCAAACAAGGATATTGCTTTTCTGCTGGATTTGCAGTAGCATTTGTATTACTTTGTTGCAGTTTATTGCTTGACCTTATTGCTGTGCACCAAGCCCACACCTCCACTTCGTCCTTTATGTCCAGGTATTGAGATGCTTTTATTTTCTGAAGTAGTACGTTGTGCAATGTCTCAACATTAATTTAACATGTGAAAATTAATTATTTAATTTTTAATATCCCATTGATAATTGTTACAATCCTATGGGTTTTTCCTTGAGAATGAAAGTATTGTCTTAACCTTTACTTCACTCTCGACGTTTTTAATTAAATCCAAAGCACATTGACATTTTGTTATTTTAGTAGCACCACCTTATTATATTGTTATGTATGGATTATGATAAAGGAGCAGCATATAAAAGCGACCATTTCAAACTTCTATGTGAGTTTGTTCATGCCCACAAATAGGAGAATTAATGGGTTGATGTACGTTTATACACCTCTTGTGGGTATTAACTGGTATTGATACATAATTAAATACTCACTTAATTTCTTAAATACATTTCTGGTTGAATAAATTCACAAATCCATAAATTGTTGTTGAATTGGTCTGACTGTATGGTGTTACAGTGCTGTCAATCCTCTGCACCTCACACTCAAATGCTACCATAAATTATGACATTTCTGTTACATGAAAAGATTCATCATGTTTTAGGGCAACTGATCAGATACATCCTTCTCACAATCATCTTCCAACATGTATTCTGGCACTAAAAGAAGATTTTTTAAATTTATAACTACTTATAACTACTTTGGTTTCGCACTGCCTGGAATGGAACCCAGGTCTCTTGCTTGCAAGGCGAGTGCTCTAACCACTGAGCTACAGGACTCCACAATTGTCTCCACTTCCCTCCTAAAGAGTCTGGCCCAGCTAGTAGCGTCGGGAGGACTTTAGAAATTCCAAAGATATTTATTAGAATGGAATACACATTCTATCCCTGGAGTGGCACATCCTGTTTTCCAAATTCCAGAAAGTATTAAGCACAGGTTAGCAGGAGCTAAGGCTTCGGGGCTCCAAAGTGTGCGTTGGGGTACCACTGGAGTCTAACCAGCTAAAACCACATAGCTTGCCATTGAAAGTACTGTCTGGTAAGCTTTCCCGCTGCCTGTCCAACTCGGACCACGCTACGTTAAGACTTTGGCTTGCAGGGATAATGGGAGCTGAGTGGGAAGAGTCCTTGCCCCAGTGATTAGTCTGCCTTTTCAAATACTGCCAAAGAGCCAGGATGGCTGTGCTGTCATCAGTGGTGCTCTAGAATACAGCGTACCCATCTGGATTAGGAACTGGATTACCGAAACTGCCACAGAGGGCTGGCTTGATTCCACCATTACTTTGCCAAACATGACACCTTGGAGCAAATTCAGAACCTGTTTACCAACCGCCACCCCCCCTCCAAGGACTCCAAGGAGGATAGTCACTAATTGGACATTTAACACCTAACAGCCGTGGGTTCTCAACAGGTAGATATCAGGAACTCCCTGTGAGCTTCCTAGTGGGCAATGCAGCTCAGTATGAGAGCATGTCCACAGCACATCGCCACCATCTTTCTGCACACATCCCACTGAGCGATGGTTCCACCAATTGCAGGTGTGGAGCTTGAGCATCAGCTACTTACCTCTCTGCTAACCAAACAAGGTGGATTCCAAGCACTGGATGTATAAACACATGTTCATGACTTGGACTCCAGCTAACCCCTTCCAAGTAGCTGTCACCCAAACCTCAGGGTTTCCTCATCAGCTACCCGATGGACATCTATCTTCAGTGAGATGGGAGGAGCATTACAGGACAGCTTGTGACGTGACAGCCACCTTGATATTCTCGAAGTCCAAGTTCAATGCTGTCTACCAGGCTTAGTCAGCATTGGCTGCTTAATCCAGGTCCTCATGCGAGGGACCTTGGGAAATAGAAGTACCTGCTGTGAAGCTGTGTCCACCTCCAAGATGCTTAATGACAGATCAGTGTAGGTTGGAGCCCTCCTTTGCTGCAGCCACTTCCCGTGTTTGCCACAAATCATTTACACTTTACAATAAAATACTGTGAGGTGCTTGGAGACTGTTCAACAACGTGATGTTATCTATGTTGCTGTGTTCGCCCACATAACCCACAGTCACTTCACTTCACAGTAAATCCTGTGAAGCACTTTGAGATGTCTCAATCATGTGAGAGATGCTATACCAAATGTAAGATGATTTATTATTATTAAAAGTGTTTGACTCCTTTTTTCATTCTATTGAAGTACAATGCTACAGGTACTGGTCACCTACTGTAACTCACCCACCCAACTGATCATTACTTATGAATGAATATTAACAATGTACAGCTAAACGAGAAAAGACTAAAAGTTTATACTGTATTGACAATGATCCTCAGCGTTAGCTGAATGAGCTAGATGGATATCTGATCCAAAACTCCACCGCCCACATACTCACCCACACTAAACTCCTTACCCCCATCACACCAGTCAAAGGGATCGATTTCAAGATCCTCACACTTGTTTTCAAATCCCTTCATGTCCTGGCACCTTCTTACTTCCTCCAACCTTCTTACCCCCCAACCCATTACCCACTGCCTCCGCTCGACTGGCTCTGGTCTTCTACATGTCCCTTGTTCCCTCCATTCCACCATGCATTACGCCCCAAAACTCTTCCTTCCTCTTCGACCGTGCTTATGGTCGCCTCCCTCACCCGCCACTGTCAAGCACTCTGGGACGCTACCCTGCATTTGGTGTTATACTCTGTAGCCCATGTCCTCTCCCGCACCAAATTCCGTGACCCAATCTCCCCCATTCTCGCTCGACTCCATTGGCTCACTATCCTTCAGAGGATCCAGTTTAAAATCCTGGTCCTCACCTACAAAGCCCTCAATGGTCTCGCCCCACCCTAGCTCTGTGACCTCCTAATCCCCTACCAACCCGCCCGCTCCCTCTGCTCAGCCGGCTCTGGCCTGCTCCACGTCCCCTGACCCACCCTCCCCACCATTGGCGGGAGAGCCTTCAGCCACTCGGCCCCCAACCTCTGGAACTCCATCCTCCACTCCACCTCGCTCCCTCCTTAGCCTCCTTCAAGTCCCACCTCAAAACCCTACTCTTCAACAATGCCATTGGTCACCCCCCCTTCCCTTCCCCTCCTTTCTCCCCCCAGCAACATGGATTCATTTAAGAAATATTCTGATGCTGTAATGGGAAGGTGCTAGAGATAAGATCAAATGGGCCAAAGATTTTATTCATCTAAACCTCCCTTGTGATCTTGTAGAGACAGTATGATACATTCTGATTTCAACACATTGAATTAACAACCCAACCAACAGTGCAGTGCTCTCACTACAACCTGTCAGATTCTGAGCACAAATCGTCACAGGCTTCTCACCCAGAGGGGCAAATGTTGCTAAATGAGCCATACTCACAGACATTCGGGAACACACAACCAATGTGCTTTGGTTATGCAACTTAGAGAAAGGGGAGTTAGCTAATGCATATCTCAATAGTTTTTTTTAAAAAAATACAAGATTTATATTTGAGTGTAATTCTCCTGCATTGAGGGAGAATTCTACCTTTTGTATCTCTTATGATCTGAGGTTTTAATAAACATTTCATTAATTTGCCTCTGGCACAAAGCTGGTGATATCTTCAAAGAATCCCATTGGTAATGTGAATTATTCTAATAGCATGCCTATGAGGCACTTTTGTCATTATAATCTCATTTGAATATCGAGGAAGAGCATGCTTAAGGGCCTAAATAACATAGCACGTGAGAATTAACAATCTTAGCAGAAAAGAATTGGAAAAGACACACTGCAGATACCCATAATGTATAACCATCCAAACTCTCAGTTGATATTTGCTCAGTTGGAGTTACTTGTATTCCAATCTTCTTTGACTTCTTACTTGCAGAAAGCAAAATAATTATTAAGAATGCATTTTTGCAGCTTACAATTGATCTAATAGTAATCACAAATAATAATCACGAATAGTAAACAGGCAACAAAACAATAAATGGAGTTTTACTAAGCTATAATTTTCAATTAAATTTTAAAATTGAAAATCATTACAGAATTATGGGTTTTCCCGATATCAGTTAAGACGTAGGTATCAGCCTCTAGGTAATACATTTTAAAGCATTATAAAGCAAAAACTTCGAGCTCAGCAGAAGCTGGGTAAATTGTTTTCGACAAACTGTGAGGTACATTCCACATAGACTGGAAGAGAAGAAGATAGCAATGCAAATTTTGACGACAATCACTCTAAACAACATTAGTTATAATGAGTATTGCATTATAAGTGATTTTTTTTACTGTGAATTGACTTGCACTATATTTAAATTAACTGTAAAAAAAGTGTTTGTGTGAGGGGAGGGGAAACTTTCCAATCTAAGCAAACTGTTATCAAGTGTCAATTTTGCTCTTGATGCAATAAGTAATGATATAGCTATTTTGCTGAAAGCAGCTCTGGT